TCTTAGTTAACTTGTTTCCTTTGTCGAGCGGTGCGCACATTTTTGGCTTTTGTTTGTCTCTGCTCGGGGCCGAAATGAAATTTTCCACGGCAGTATTGGGGGCGTGTGGAAATCTTTTTGGGATTTGCATGCTCCCAGCGTGATTTCTGGCTTTATTGCCGTGGCAGGCGACCCCGCAAAACCCGTTCCATATTTTTTCCTTGGCTTTTTTTGTTTGCATTTTGAAGGAGAATCGATTTATTGTTTTTTTTTTGCCTGATTTTACGTGGCGCGCGTGACGAGCGCATACTTTGTTACGTGCTATTACATGTTATTGATCTCCACCCACCGCCCACTTTATTTACTTTTTTTTACACCCTTTGTCGCAAACAAACTTGCAACTAATATGTAAGCTTTAATAGCTGCGGTCCTGAAATTTGTATTAGCTTATGAATTTTTTATTGGAGAAGGTATGCGAAAAATTAAATTAGCCCGCATTAAAGATGTAAATTAATAATGTCAATAAACATCAAGCTAATAACACATAGTTGATGAGCAAATAAATTCTTATTTTAATTTATTTATCATACATGACATCGAAACTTTATTTTGTCTGTTGCAGCCTAGGTCACAAATATAAATTATTTAAAATGAATGTAATAGATTTTGTTAATATAAGTTTGTGATTTATTTAAAGGTTTATTAAACTATTGTAAATAAAATTAGCTTATTTGTTCTGAAATCCACTTTTTTAAAATACGAAAATCCACATTAATATTTAAATTTGTAGAGCAGACAAGTATATTTTGAATGTCATAAAATCGATTACAATTTTATTATCTACGATAGTTTTCAAATGAATACAAAAAAAATAAATGTAATATGTTTTAATTAACCGTTCAAAGCACTTAATAAAAGCCATATTACTCTTATTTTTTATTATTTAGCTGACCTAACCACAGAACTTCGAAAAGTAAACAGCTGCAGACAAATGAACTCGATAATTAGCGACATACATGGACTTCAGCTCGATAATTTCCTTTGAAAGGGATTAATTTCTCATTTTTAGGTCATTATCTATATCGAATTACATCGAACGGATAATAAATCAATGCCAGATCCTGGTTCCAGTAAAGATATCCGTTGCAGGGGGAAATTATTTATGTGACTACTGGTTTTTAGTATCGCCAGCTTTAAGTTTTAAGCCCCGTGCAGCAGGGCGTATGCGCAATAGTTGGACTCGCATGGCAAATGAATGATTCATTGGGTGGTCAAGATGGCATTTAAAGGACAACCCCTTTTCTCGACAGCCTGTTTGCTTAGCCCTCCAAGAGCAGGCAGCTGGAATCGCTCGGAAGATAAACACGGAGGCCAGAGATCCGAGTCCTAAGCGCCGGAGCATCTTTCAATGGCAACGGCTGCAATCAGCAGCCAGTGCGTCGTCGTCTTTGTCAGGGATAAACAGAGTCCTTGTGGAGGAGGAGGGGATCGGGTGGAGACCTCCAGCATCTGGCCAAACGAAATGCACATCGAGAAAAACACATGCGTCTGTTAAAGGGTGGGCGAATTAAAAGATAAATACCGTGCTTTCGTGCAATTAATTAAAAATATTGGAAAATATATAAATACATTCTCTTGGATATAAAAAGAATTTCTTAAGTGTTAAATTCTTTACTAAAATTGTTACTTATTTTTTCTCAGTGTTGCTCATTATTTTTTAAGGTATTCAAATATAACCCAACTAAATATAAAATAAATTTACTTTCTTGCCAAATTAAGTGTTTTCTATAAAATCTTAATTAATATTCTTTTTCTCTCAGTGTGAGCCTTGGGCTGTAATCAGAAATGAAAAAGTGAAACAACAGAGAGGCTGGGATTGCCGAGGAAATGAAGTGCGGAGAGTTGGAGGAGTGGGTGTCCATCAGATGTGTCCATCATTCGGTGAATGCCGGGGATTAGTTGTGTTGATGGGATGGCCGATGTCCCATGTCCGATGTCCGATGTCCGATGGCAGAAGACCAGGAACGGGTCCTTTCTTTTGACGTCCTTTGTCCGTTGGTTGTTTAGTCTGCTTACAACCTGCTCAGGTGCCTCCTATGAAAGGACCCAGGATGACTTAAAGTCCTTAATTTATGGAAAATTTGAAACGGGATTAGAGCGGCCAAAGGTCGATTACCAAAAATAGCTGGATGAGGCTTTGATATATTTCTTAAAACAAGCAGCTTTAATTTAAGGAAACAAACTTAAGCAATTGCATTGCCTCATTTTGATACTCGGATTGTTAATAAATTGTTTAACTATTTGTAGTAACTTATAGGTTGTAATTATAAAGGTTTATAATTTGGTAAAAAGTAAAATTAAATAGTTTAATATACGAAAAAATCTTAAATATTTTTGTTAAAATATATTTGTTGATGACCCACAAATTTAAAACGACCTAGTTTTGTTGGGCCATTTTTGTAAAATAAATTAATTCAGTTAATTGTTTTTTAACGGCCCTCACCAGTGGTCTTAAAACTTTTAAACTAAAAAGTCGTAAAACAAAAACAGTCCTAAAAACTAATGGATTTGACGAATTAATTTTTTACAACTCCCACTAACGTTTTTTCAACTTTACTGTTCTTGACAAAAGTTGAAAAGTTGCGAATGTTTTACCACATGATCCCGCTTCTGCTCCGAAATTTTGGATGCAATGCGTCCTTTTCGATGATAACCCTCCTCGTCCTCGATTTTCCACCCGTTTGTCACTTATCGCGCCCCGCGAATTTCTGGTGCTCATTATGGACTCGGCGACACTTTTGCCTGCGAATAATGAAGGGGACATCATTATCGCTCCTCGCTGCCGCTGTTGCTGTCATCATCATCAAAAACAAGAGGACCCAGTTGCAGCACCCCCTTGCCCACCCCAAATCCTGTGGCAAGTGTTGATGTTGTTGTTATTCCGCTTGACTTCGAATTTCTGCGGGGGAAATGTGAGGGTCTTTGGCTGAAATGGGGGGTCTGTAATCAACGGGCGGCAGCGAATGAAAGTTGACAGGAACAAACAGTCGGCAGTGGGCTCTTCCTCGTCCTCCTGCCATTTCCATTTCATTTTCCCACCCGCTTTCCACAATCCCATCGGACATTTCTTCAATTTTATTGCTGCAATTTGCTGGGAGGACCGCTCTGGATGAAGACATTGTTTCGATGCCCAGTCTGTGATTTTTACTCCACTGATAGAATTTCACGGTGACATTGGTTTTCATTTTTTTAAAGCAATTTAAACAATAAAATATAAATATTAATATACATATATATATATTTTTTTATATTTTATATTTGAAATTGTCTTTAAACTATTTTAACAAGCATAATATTTTTCTACACATTTTCAAAAGAATATGTAAAAGATGAAACCAAATGAAAAACATCACAATAATAATGGTTTAACTTAAAATTTGTAAATTAAGGAACAGTATTTTAAATGGAAATTCATTATTAACAAAAAAAAATTAACATGAAATATTAATATTTAAAGCATAAGAAAATTTAAAACCAATGTATTGAAACGGTTCGTGATCTTTTTAATTCTAAATATACGATTATATTAACTAAATATTTTAGTTAAATTAAAGTTATTGAATAAACTCGAGTTAAAAAGAAAATAAAGAATCTATTAACGATTTTGTAAACGTTTTTTTGCGTTCTCACGAGTATTCACTTATCTTTCGCTTTTCATTTTTCAAAATGCGACCATTTTGATATTTTTTACTTTCGGTGTAATTTTAAACCATTTGGTTATCTTTTACTTGCCAAACGCAACATGAAAAGGGTCCAATTTATGCCTCGGTCTTGGGTTTTCCTTTTTTGCGGCTCCTGGTTCGGTTTTTGTTTCCTTGTTTTGAGTAATTAAATTCCTAGGCTTGTTAATACCCTGAATAATCACCGTCACTATAAAGAAGTCGAAGGACTGTTCGAGGCATAACCAAATTTACAGTCGACTGCACTTAATGAGCGCTTAATGAGTTTCACGGAAAGATCTGCAGACTTGAAAGACAAAACTCTGGCAGCTCTTTTTAAAACGTCTTGCATTTTTAATAACAATAATTTAAGCCATTTGCCAGGACTTTTTATCTGAAAGTACTTTACTAAGGAGGGCATTATAAATAGTAAGTTTATGTCAGGAATTATCTACCTTGCTAACGCCACATTCATAAATATATATTTATTTTCTCCCAAAAGTATGCAATGGAATTCGAGTTCCTGCACTACCCTTCTCTTGATTGTCTCTTTACTTAAATCCTGACCCAGACATTAAACATTCTCATTTTCTTCCTTGCAAATTACAAGTCCTTTTGGCCAACGAAATATCAATTATCTCGCTTTTTTGCATCCTGATTTAATTGGACACTCTACTTATTAATTATATGACCTACTTTTGGGCTATTTCTTTCCATTGTTTTACATGTTGACATATTTAATTGATTGGAGAAATTTTTAAAATTAAAAATATAATTTGCAATTCAATTTCTGAAGGGCACATATTTTTCCTGCCAAAATTTTATTATTAAAAACGAGCTATTGTTAATTACTACTTCAAATGTTCTTTTATAAAAAAACTTCTTTCGGTCTAAAAATAACCTAAAAGTTGTTGTTTAATAACAAAGTTAATTATCTTTTTTCAGATCAATATATTAATTATTTTTAGTAAACTAAAAACATATCTTGTTGAACAGATTTATTACAAGAATCTTATCATAAAATATATAATTTTAAATATAACAGCTTTTTAAAAAATACCATTTAGAGAGAGACTTTTTTAATCATTTAAAAAAATGTAATAACCATTGAATGTCATAAAAAGAAGAAGAGGAAATGTTTACGCAGTAGATTAAAATAGAATTAGAAATTCCCAAAATAGATTTTCTTCTTGTTTATGCCATTTTCGAACAGCTGTTTTTACGGCAGTGTGACCGCACGCCACATACCACCACAATCCCTTAGTGCCCCGATCAACGGCAACACTGCGCCGACGCTCTCGCTCTCACTCTTTTCATTTCCAATTGGGAGAGCGGGCGAAGCAGTTGGGAAAGCGCGTGTAAACAGCAGGGAAATCGAAATCGCATTTGTGCCTTGTTTTTCTTGACCAAAAAGTACTAAATTGGCCAAAAATTTGCAGCGCAGAGCAGAAAACTGCAGAATGCAGAATAAAGCTGGCCAACAAACACACCGATTGGTGTACGTGTGAGGGCCTCTCGCGCGCCCATGTGTATGTGTGTGTGTGTTTAGTGCTCGAAAAAAATATTGCTCAATGGCCCAAAAAAATGGTAAAGAAAATCAAACACCTTCTGAAATGAGCAGATGAAAAACAACGAAAACAATTTCCCAAACGTGAAAAGTGCGGTGAAAGTGCAGCGAAAGCCAGTGAAAAGCAAATGCAAATAAATGCTATGTTTTTTTGCGCTCAATTTGAGTTTTTATTTTTGTGAAAGCCTTGTGCTCTTTCTCCCACTCTTTCTTTCCTTGTCCTGCGTTCCACGCTCTTCGCAAAACTACGAGCATAAATAAAACAACTAAATTAAAGAGAGGTAAGTGTTTTTTGTTAGGAAAGAAAACATTTCCCCGAAATTAGAGTCGAAATGTCGTCATAATTATCTTTATTATTATTTTCGTGTTTTATTATTTTCTTTTTACATTTTTGTGGAAAAACGAGATAGCAATAAAAATCTCAGGGCGTTGCGAAATTTGTTACTTCTTTTTTATTTTGCTTCGTTTTTGTTGCTGCTTATTTGCTTTTATTTTCTCAATGGCCGCCGAGTATTTCCAGCTGTGTTGGTGAGAGCATGAGAGCGAGAGAGGCCGTCCGCGTCAGCTGTGTTGTTTTATTTATCACGTTACTTAAAAAAACAACAAGAAGGAATCACTTGCAAATACGTTTTTAAAGGCCTTGCAAGCTGTTAATTGATTCCCGGCGCCTTTCAAGTTTGTTAGCATTAGCAGCAAAATGTAAAAAACCTGAAAAAATATTCGCTAAAGAACTTGTACAATTCACTGTTTTCAAACAAACCGTTTGCTGCTCTCTAACCCCCGCTCCTTTCTCCACCTATCATTTTTAAAGCATTGCCAGCCTTAAAAAATACATTTTTTAATTTTTTATTTAAAAAATTTGTAAATACTTAGATTGAGCGTTAAACATTCAAGTTAAAAACAAAATAAATGTTTTTTATTTAATATTTTAATTAAAATTTGTTTATAATTTCCTTTGTTTTTTATTTTAAAATATTTGGTAAGCACAAACAGAACAATAATTTAAGTTAATACATTTACTTAAAAATATTAGAAATGATAAAAAAAAAATAGTTTTAACATTCCTTTTTTTTAATTTTGGCTTTGTCAAAATTTTTGATTAAAAGTAAATTTATTATCGCTGCCATAAATTTTGTTTAATTATTCTGTTAGGTTTTAGTTTTTTTTAAATTGTAACTCAATAAATAACATTAGTACCGAATAAACTTACATTGGCGCTTTTCCCCTCATATTAAGGCTTTTTTTACTGACTTCGGTTGTTGACATTGAATTGTTTGTGTGTCAAACACACTGGGTGTAATGTTTGTTTGTTTATGCACTGCTTCAGTGCTGACAAAGTGCAATAAATTCACTTGAACTCTCCCGAGAAAAGCCATCACCCCACTTGATCCGTGTGCGTTTTCTATATTTAATTCGTTAATCAATTGTTGCCTATAAGGCTATAATTAAGTATAAATATAAATGTTTCTGATGTTTGTTGTATGCAGCTTAAAACGGATGAGTGTGTAATTCCTTAGTATCATCAAATGTGGCTGAAAATTTGGGTAATTAGTGTGGGGGAATACCCAAAAGTTCTTAATTGTTTTTAATATAACTTGAATATAAGAATGTTTGTCAATAACTAAAGCAAATACGCTTTAGGGATATTTTCTGATTTAAACTGGTTTTAGAACCATGTATTCTCGATCACAATAAATTGGCGAGTCAATCTAGCCAAGTCTGCTTGTCTGTCCGATTTTCTGATTGTCCATATGTATGAACACCTTGATCGAAATCGGAGACTGTGCAAATTATAGTCATTGAACTTGTAATTGTACGTGGTTTAAAATTATTTTTAGTTCACTATAGCGCGCTCTTTTTATAGAACAAAAGTGGTTTGCAATCTCCAAAAAGAAATATACAATTAATACATATTAATTAATAGAATATTCGTTAAATAATAGTTAAATATGCTATTATTAAATAAAATTGATTTTAAACTTTTTGAGATAAAGTGTGCAACAGTTTAAAAGGCTTTTAAATAATAAAAGCACACTTTATCTCAAAAAGTTTTAAATCAATTTTATTTACATTTTACAAATATAATTCCATTACACTGCCTAGATTTTGAGTTAGAAACAAGATTATTTTCCGATTGATATTGGATAGCTTAATGTTGATTTGCCTGAAGTATTTCAAACAGTAACAGTCTATCTCAACAATTAGTGAATTCTGTATTTTCAGACATTTAAATGTATAGATACAATAGATTCCATTGAATAGCACATAAAGCTGTAAGCGTGCGCTTAAGAATCGAAATTTGTGCCAGCCCAATTTGTATGCGTTCAATTCGATGCCTAAGCTCTTCGTTATAAAATAAAACCTTTTCATTGATTGATTGGCCAGACGGATTTGGCAATCACACTTCCACGCATGCGACACAATCCAAATGAAAAAATAGGCACAACCTAAACCAAACAAAGCAAAATGGCAATTAACAATATTATCGCTGTCAGACAGAATTTACATTTGATGCCCTAAGGCATTGTAAATTTGCTTATCTAATCGCACAGCGCAACACAACCAGAACCCAAACTCATACCAGCCCAACCCAAAGTCGTAAAGTTGCCAAAGATTAAAGTCAACGCCTCAGAGAATAAAACTCGCTATTATTTTTTGGTGAATCACATGTCGAACTACCTTTAAAATGCGCTCTACACAACTGCATAATCAGTGGTAATTTTTATTTGTCTTACCGACTAAGTTACTGAAAGTCACGACCTGCCATAATATTAGTTAAACCCCACTTGATCTCCCGTATCATTCGATTTTTGCACTGAATCGTGCCTCAGTAAGGGCCATTAATCAGCTAACAAAATTGTTTACATCAACCAGAACAACAGCCATTCTATTTGTGGTCGAAACAGTGATATTTCGTATTGTAAAACTATATCAATTTTAAATCGATATAATTCCGCAATAGACTCTTACTCATAACTCTTATAATTTTTGAATATTTATAATGTAATTATATATATTTAAATATATCATAATAATATATTAAAATATTTTATAAATTTAATGTAAAATTTACTTGCTATATATCCCAATCCTTAATCTTAATAAAATTATTATATTTTTGAAGCGTTAAAAATTTGTATATATTTGATATCCCGATGTCTTAAGCCCACATTTGTAAATTATCGGTCCCTAAGTGATGATTGCCCAAAAACTAAATATATATTCCATGACCCGAGTCATTATCTACAAATTCAAAATGAAATTGGGGACAACAAACGCATTTATGATTTCTTAATTATCATTCAAAAGTAAGCTGAATTTGAAACAAATTAATTAATTAGTCTTAATTATGGAAATATTCAAACCAAAATCAAACTGCAATGAATGAATAATGAATTGTTTTTAGCAAACCTGTCAATTGAAATTACTAGATTGTTATTCAAAGAGATAGGAAAACCGACAAACCATTATATGGTATTTTTAGAGCACCAATAAAACCCGCTATTACCTTGAAGAGGTTTTTATGTAGTCAACTTATATAATAATAAAATACAATTGATCTAAAAATAAAAAAGAGAAATGAACACAATGCTTATGTCTGCGATTACACTTTGAAGTTCTTAAATGGTTCATGGTAAACGCCCCTTTCATTTTGGCTCGATCTTTGAGCTCTGATCTTGGATCCCCAGTCTCTGTCTTTTTCTTTCCTTCTGATTCCGGAATCTCGATGTGAAACGTGAGCAACCCATTAGCATATTTATGCATGCACTTAAGTAGGCGCCCATACTTATACCGAAATAAAAACGGATATATATATATTTTCTGGTACAAGTTTGTTTTTATCGTTATCTCCGCTATGTGGTCTCGGACTAAGGTCAGTTTAAAGCTATAAAATCGAATTTGATTCGCTTCCGAATAAACCCAAATGATTTCGATGGAAACTTTTTGTGAAAATTTACAAACATTAATATGGAATGTATCACATTTATTTATTTAACAGATTTTAGCTTGGTCCCATATTCCACTCATTTTGAATTTGGTTATAAAGAGTAAAATAGAAAAGGAAACTTAATGATACAGTCTATTTACTTTATTGCGAGTATTTTTTTAGTCCTTATCAATTTTAACTAAGATATGTATATTTATTAACTTAAAAATTTAGTGCCATAAACTCTTTAAAATTACAAAGGCTTTATATATTTAATTTAGTTTTGTTTATAGTCTTTACTGTAACCGATTACCCTCAAATTATAAATTTAAAACAGATATTTGATTTATATTTTTGTTTACGTAGAAGGGAGTTTACGTGTAAAGATATACCTGACACACCAAAAAGTTTCGAGACGGGTTGGGAAAACTCAGTCAGTGTGACAAGTTGGTAATAAAACGGCCAAGTCAACAGGTAGAACAGAGTCGCAAAAGCAGTGCGAGGCTGAAATACGGAGAAACAGAAGCAGAAACGGGGGTAAAAGAAAAGGCTGACAGTTGGTCAAAAAGCCAGTCACTCAGTTGGCCATATTTTTTGCGGGTCCAAAAAGATAAGAGCTCCGGCTGAGTTGAGTTAAGCGGCCGACTCTTGAGCTCTTTATGGAGAGCTCTTTAAGTTTTGTTGCTCGTGCCTTCGTTTTTGCTGAAACAGCAGCAACAGAATTTGTAACCTCAGAGCGTTGTCTATTTCGTTGCTTATTTTTCGGTTTAATGGTCAGACACGGCTGTGTTGTTGCCTAAATGCGTGAGCCAGTGAAAAACAGGTTTTTTCAGCCAAGTCGAGAGAATAACAAAAAACAGTGAAAAAGTAAAAAAGAAAACACATACGTAAACAAATAAGCCGCCACTTTTGAGTTGCCAATTGGTTTTGCAGTTTCAAAGTTTGCTCAGTTGTCGAGCGAAGCTCTATTTTTATGTGTATTCTTCCCTCACACAAAAAAAGGAATGATCGGTCTTAGCCGCTGACATAAATTATCGTTTTTTTATTCATATGTTTTAGCTAGAAGATGTCTGGAATCAAGGTCTTACATCTGTTGAATATTTTATTTATTTTTAATTGGGACAAACAGACTTGTTTTGGTAGATGTTTACGGAAAGTTCAACTTTTGGCTTAAAACCTTTTTCTTTTTTGGAATATTATTCTTGTTTAAAATACAACAATTTATTTAGTAACTAAATAAAACAATTCAATTAGTAATTATCTTGTGCCACTAGTACTTGTACTGGTCTTAGTTTATAGACAAATTTTGATTAGGAGAATAATACATCATTAGTAACATGACCTATTTGAAAA